GCCGCTCATGTTGACGCCGCCGTCGCCCGCGCTCTCCCGCGCGTACCTCGTAAGCTTGGTCAGCGAGTTGTAATCGGCGGCAGGACCAGAGGTGGGCGCGGGGGCAGGGGCGGGCCGGAAGCGCCCGGCGTCGTCGTGCAGGAAGGCCTGGGTGGGCGGTGGGTCGCCCAAGTAGCGCGGGACGACGTCGGCACCCGCAACGGCCGAGTGGGCGGGGTGGGAGGCGTGGGCGCCCCAAGACTGCAGTCGACCCGGGTGGTTGCTGCAGCAGGCGCCGCTGCGCCTGGATTGGCAGTTAATGACCGCGGTGGGCCGCACCACCGTCGCCCCGTGGGCGAGCGGCCCGCCGCCCGGCCCGCCGGCCCCCGCCCCCGGTGCCGCCGCGGGCCCGTTGTAGTGGTGCAGCAGCATGTTGCCGTCGGTGGTGCCGCAGCCGCCGGCTCCGCCGCCCGCGGCTTTGCGGTCCAGCGCGGGCGCCGGCGGCGGGGGCGGCGGCCCCGGGTGCATCAGCGCCGCCCCAAGGCGCGAGTGGTGGTGGTGGTTCAGAGTCTGCTCGCCATAAAACGGCGCCATGCCGTTGTAGCCCTGCGGCGCCGCGTAGTCCCATGAGCCCGCCGCGGTGGTCGCCGACGCCACCGCCGCCTGTTTCGACCCGTCGCACGGGAGGAACGATGACTGGTTGCAGCTTTCGAACAGAGGCTGAGTTCCATAGCAGTTCGATGGATCTTTGAAGCCGTTGAACATGGCTCTGAGTTACCAGTGAAGTGACATTTGTGATGAGATGGTCCCCATGCGTGCACGTGGCGCACCGAGAGCCTCGGCTCCCTTGACCTGAAACGAAAGGCGAGCATCAATAAAACTGTCTTGATGAGCCCATGACGTTTGAGACTTCTCTTCAAGACAAACTCTTCACACCGAAGACACCAATCTCCATTTCATATAATGAACTGGTTCAATACAAATTGCATAACTAAATACGTGACAATTTCAAAATGGGCCTCGAAGTCCTAGGTAACATTTTATTTCCGTAAATTCAGAAAAAAAATCAAATATGCAGTTTGTTTACCGATGCAAATAAGTTTTCTATAACTCAGGATTCAAAATGCATAGTTTTTTAATGTTTCTAATCTCGGGCTTCTTTACATTTTACTATTATTTTCTTTTTTAAACTTTTATTCATCTTTCAGCTATTTATAGATAAAATGATAAGGGATTCCGGAGTTCAAGAAAGCATGCAGATCTTCTCCCCCATAAGTCCATACAGTTTTTACTGCTTTTTAATTAATTAAATCAAAATCTAAATGGTGATCAATTCATGATGGTCCCTTTTTTAAGCTGACAATTTGGAGAATTAATACACTGCATTCGGGGACCAAACTATCTGGCCCTGTAATGGATGGACATTAAACCGATTACACGGTCATTAAATAAATGTTCTTCTCAATTTATTAAGTTTTATTTATTTACTACTAAAATGAGTTATTTCTAAATACAAAAGTTTGGTTGAAAATGGTCCAAAAATGTCCCCCCTTTCTAGTTTTATGCTGCGCACGTCTGTGAAGGTCCCTGATGTAACCCTTTACCAAATCGCTCATTTGTAACACTTCCCTACGTAGCTCAAAATTTGACAGTATTGAATTACTAGAGAAGAAATTGAATTTTTGAGCTTTTTCGAACTTGTTATAATCACATACCAATGCTATATGAAATTGCAGAGAGCTCTTGTATTGGCGTTGCACCACAGAACTTCATAAACGAAGTTCAATTTTCAAACGCTTTTCCTAAATATACGATTATACGTCGCAAAAAATTAACTCTCAATCTTTCACATAACCTACAATACCTCCTAATTTCAAACATTAAACTTCTCATATACGATGTATTATTAATATTAAAGCGTACTTGATAAAATCGCTATTTAGTATATATAGTATTACGTATTTTCCCATATTATTTTGGTAGAAATACGATGTTACGATGATGCAATGACGCAAAGAGTAAATCGAACATGCATAATCTACTGTATACGTATCATGAACAACAATTGCAAAATGACAACTGTCATTCTCAAAAGAATACAGATTGCAAAATTACAATTTCATGTGTATTACGATAAAATAAAATAAACTTGATCTCATTTATTATTCATCACTGCACTTAGGTACTGAACATGATGTCGATATGATTACTCGCAGTTTACTTACCTGCTACAATGTAAGCAGTCATGTGACGCTTACTACTAAACATTTATTATTCTACTTTTAGCAACATACTATAATTATCTAATACTGTAAGCACAAAGTTAATCACAATACGATGTCACCGATAAAAAATAATTCTCCTTGGAATGAGCTGGATAAGTCATGCTGAGTTAAGAAAATCGCAAAATCGCCATTCTTCACATAGTGTTTCAAAAATTATATTCAACTAAATTGAGAATTGATTCTAGAATACAGAGCGCACACTCTCCATTATAGTATGTTCATAGTTCTCACAAATATTGCAACTCACCGTTAAGAATTCAGGAAAACACATCCGACCACCGCCATTTTGAAACCTGCTGTGAAATACGTAAACAAAAGGGTGTGTTCCAGACGCTAGTAGAGAGTCAAAATGCTCAAACTTATTTCTCGAAAAATTTTGGGAAACGAAAGTACACAAAATATGTGAGATAATGATTTTGCTATTTTTAATTATGAAAGTCTCTTAAGCTTTCAATATTTCAATTTTGGGCATGATTTTTGTCACAGGAATATCGACCTCGTTTTCCAGCGCACTCGCTCTTCATTTGTTTTCACGAATCGTTATTCCGTGGAATATAAATTTGTACATGTATTTCTAATTCCGTGCCGTGAGGTTAGAAAATACCAATTATTGATGTGAATGTTACATTTAACACGTTCGTTGCCGTTACCGCATACGTTATCTTACTATTAACCGTAGTAATTTTTCAAGGTATTAATTGTAGCAAATTTAAATCTCATTTTTCTTGAACCTTTGTGACCTTATTCATCTTTTCGGTTTCTTGATATTTTCTAACCTGACTTTCTGCAGTACACTAGTTTTTATTAAACAGTATTAGGCGTTACATCTGTGTCGGTCGCCATTTCTTAAAGTCCTGAATTAAATGTATGCCAGAAAACTGATTTAAATGTCTTATGTTCAACAACTTGGTATTAAACTATTTTTAAATAACGAGTACAAAAAATATTGTACTAAATTTTTTTTCCAAACTTTTCTAGTTTATTCTTAATGACCACTTCAGGGTCTAAAGGAACTTAATTAATTAATGTGACTAGTGTTATGAAATATCGGGACACAAGTTAAGTGACATTTTCATAGACTTTCATATTATATCTCAACAAGGGATTTTATTTACAGCAATATTTAAACAATTTATATATACAAATTCATTATGACTACACGTGCAAATATCATGGCACAAGAAGTGAAATAATGGAAGGAAATCCTTTTAATGATACATATAATATTTGCCTTACTAGTAGTAACACACTGATAAAAAACAAAAACAGTTCCAACATTAAAGGGATGTCTTTACATAGAACCTTACACCTTCTTTTAGAAATTTCTTTCTTAAGTACAATTAAAATTCAGAAAATTGCAAGAACTAGCTGCATAAACAAAATATAGTGTAAACTTACTTCCTTCATTCATTCATTATATTCTACATCAACTGCCTTTGAACTGTCACTAACATCAATTATTTCATTAAACGCTGATGTAAAAAATGTATTTATGTACAAAATTCATGAGAGAAGATGCCTCTCACATTCTAAGAATACATATTTTATATCACAAAAAACCTACTATTTCATTTAATATGTAATTATATTACCAAAGAATGAAATTGCTAAGCAATATAATTTTTAAGGGTACGTTTTGTGCCCAAAACTGTAACCTGCAGCTTCAGAATGGGACACTGGGCTGTCTATATTACTAATCACTGTCCTCTGAACATTTCCCAAGTCAGTTTGTGGCACACTAGGCTTGGAGCCTGATCTTAAGAGATTGGTAACTTCAGTCAAAACTAAATTAGTGAGTTTAATAACTGCAAAATGAGCAGCAAATTGCAACAGTAATGAACCAAAGCCTTTATACAATCCACAAACGCCTTCTTGTTGAAGAGTTGTATCATAACAATCTCTTGCACCTTCATAACTTGTCAGAATTGGTATAACTTCATATCCTGAATCAAGATTGTCTATAATAGTACGTGTTCCTTGCAGATGTAACCTATAAAAAGTAGCAGTTTATTTTCAAACAGTCAGAGAAGTGAAAAAGACATATGTTGAGAAAAAATTATATTTATTAGTAACCAGAGATATTATTTCATAAAATTCTCATAACAAAATTAACACCAAAAATATCACAGTCATATAATATTTTTCATAATTTGTGTAGGTACCCTCATTTTTCACTCACCTATGAAGAATAGTTTCTAGTGGATAAAAAGCCACTTCTGCAGTAAAGAAAGCAATCAGAGAAGAATTTAATTCTATATCTTGAACAGGTTGAGAAATATCACGAGATAGGGCACCCTAGTCAGTACAAAAGAGAATTTTAACAAGTTATATCATTGAGAGAACATTACATTTACTGAAAGTAATTACATTTACCTGTTTTTGTTGTCCGTCTTTGTGATTTTTAATCATTACGCGGCGAGCTAATCCTCGAACAGTGATGGTCAAAAAATATTTAATAAGACCATATGTTACAGTAGGTATCACCAAGCTCCATATCGGCAACATCCGTCCTTCATATGTAAGATCAAAAGATGACAAAAATTACACATATGTAATGAAATGAATAATAGTTATCAATGAAACATTTAATATTACATCATGATCCATCATTCAAACTTTTATCTACGATGATTACTTTCTCTTCAATTGTATAACAATTCTTATATTAGGAATCATCATTTATTTCACTATTCTTCATGATTCCATCAAAAAATCTTCATGAATGACTGAAGATGATAGAGACAGCAGCGTAAACAGGCAGTAAGGATGAGCACCAAGGACAGACAGTGAGGTCATGCAATTGCTCGTATGTTGTGACATTACTACCTTTCTTTTGCCTTTGAAAGAGTGTTATTATGAAGTCATTATGCAACCAGTACTATAATAAATTCATTACAGCACTAGTACTACAATGAAGCTTACAGAACCTGTATGAGTGCACTAATCGCTGGTACATCACTTTGTCATAGATAAATGTAAACTATCTGCCAGCATAACAAAAAAGAATTGTAATACTTGGACTTCAATTTTATTAAATGCAATAAGTGCATAGCAAAATATACAAAATGTTCGCAGACTCTAAAAGTGAAGTATTTTTAAACAAATGCTGAATAATTATTACTCCAATATATTAATTCTTTGCAGCACAATTCATTTAAAGCCTCCTACTCTTTTGATCATGCTCACAAGGTTTGCAGTTATGTCTGCAAACCATGCTGTAGGAAACCTTTCATACACTTTCTAAGCACCTGGTATCATAAACTTCATTTGTCTGGAGACATACTGTGATATATAACACACAATTTGGGCTGTTCAGGTGATAGCACCTGAGCTTTCGATACGGCAACGTTTCAACCGAGATATTGCAGTCTTCTTCAGGGCTGTAGTGCAGAAGAAGACCGATGTCGGCACCTTGGTCATCGATGCAACATCACCCAGACAGCCCAAATCATGACTGGCCATGGAAGCCAAAGACATCATATATCGAACATGGTTGGCAAGGTGCCTGCCATTCCTGTTGTAGTCAAAGTGCTCCTTCATGTGCCAATAGGTGGTTTGCAGTTCTATTCCAGTATACTTGTGTATACTTCGAGAATTACATTAAATTTTATAAGTCACCTCCCTGTCACCTTTTTTGATGCATCATGCCTGAGAACCTGTTCAAAGAATTGGTGGTCTCAATAGCTTAGTGGTTAGAGCAACCAGTCGTAAACCAGGGGACCCAGGTTCAAATCCCAGACAGGGTAACAATTCTTTGAACAAATCTAATTATTAAATTTTACTAATTACAGGAGTGCTATCATCTATTCTCACCTTTCTGAGGAGCACCCCAGCTCAAAAGTCGACACAGTCCTTCCTTGAATACATCAAATATTCCTGGTTTCTCACTTGCAATATCACTCTGCACAGTTTCCACAAGACTAGCAGAATAGAAAGGAGTAACAATTGCCAAAGAACAACTATAACATAAGAAAAAAACAAGATCAATAGATTTTGATGAATAAATTAAAATGAATAATGTTGCAATGACCTTCAGGAAAGTGAAAATGATAAATTCACATATTAACTCTCCTTTTTCATTCTACAATGGACTCTCCAATAAAACATTCATCCAGTTCTTCATTCTGGTAGAACAAGTACTGAAATTAATGACATAATTATTTATAATTAGTGGTAACCCATCAAAAATGACCAATTGAAATCAAACTCATATTAATAATTCATTACAATTTAATTAAACATGCCAATTAATTTCTTTAACATTAAATTTAAGTTTTTCTCATTTCAAAAATTCCTTTATTATCAGTAAAAGGTTCACCAGTTGGTGTCCAGAGTCCCCTAAAGGGACCACAAAGCAATTTTAAGGAGAGAGTGAAAGAGCCAAACCAGATTAAAGTTTGAGGTTTCTGCAATTGTTGCAGCTGGTTGCCATGTTCCATAGCAGAATTATTTAGTTCTTGGGATATTTGTTACAGTCATTAAGACACTGTATTTTCAGGATCCAACAGCATGTGTATTCAAGATTAAGTCGCCTGGGTTCCCAGCACTCCCTCAAATTTTGTGAAGAATCAACAAAATACAGCATTTCAGTTATGTAGTTCCATATCACTCTTTATGTACATTCATTGTATCTCAGATCTCGTAATAGATTAGTTGTCAAAACTGTTTTCAAGCTCAAAAGTGGCCTGGAAGATATTTGTAGTGTATATAAAAGGGTTACAAGACAATCTAAAAAACTTAAGAGGTTGCTGGGGAAGATTTATTGTTGACACATAAAACCGAGACACAACAAATGATCAAAATCAATTTATGCAAGAGTGTAGGTGTTGCTGTACTTAGCAAATTCTATGTTCATAACTTTTATTACCACAAACTCATTCAAATTGTGAAAGAAAATTGCATGCTACATAAAATTCCAAATTGTACCACCAGGTGTAATTCCATTGATACTATTTCTCATAGAGACTTGACTAATTTGATTGGTTCATATTCAACCTATGTTATACACATCTGAAGATACTAGAACATGCTAATAGCTTCAAATAAAGCATTCCTGGTTATATTTGAATGTACATAATAACGAATGCCTAAATATTTTCATTCTTTACAAACTCTTCACACCTTTTAACACTGGTATATGAATATTAAGTTGCAAAACACTCATCTTGATGGTAGCTGAATGTTGGCAACACTTGAGACTTGGATCTCCCTTGCATTACATTAAATAGAACATTGTTTTTGTTGACATGAGGAATTACAGAAAAACCTTGACAAAATCAACAATAAGGAGAAAATAAATCATGGGAGACCTAAATACAAGAATTGGAAAGGCAAACAGACTCAAGGGATGTAGAGGAAGTGAATGAGCGGAAATCATAAATAATAATGACAAGGAATGAAAACACATTTACATCTTCAACAATCTTAAAATTACTAACTTACTTTTCAAACACAAACCTACTTGTCAGTACCAACGAGAGAAGAGAGGTAAAAGGTCAATTATTGATTATACAATTACAGAAGAGAAAATAATGCACAAGTTAGTTTATGTGTAATGCACAGTTTTGATATTATCATTTTTCTTTTAACTTAGTAGAAACTATAAAAATAGGATATAAAAAACCTATAAGCAAAACTAATAATGCTTCAATATCACATACTTTCTTGCATTATTTCTAAATTTACAAGTTTTGAAAATTTAGAATGTTTAACGAAAATGAGACCCATGACAATCTTTTTTGTTTTCCTTGTTCTATTCATAGGAAAATATTCAAAGCAGTTTTTGAAGATTTTTTTTTTAATTTGCATTTACTTCAAGCAGTAATTGTGAAAGTTTTTTTAAAAACTTGTAAATTACTATTCCAAGAACTAAGATTTTAGAACATATTTTAAGCCAAAAATCTCTATTTTCAAATTTTTATTTATTTAGTGTCTTTTTACACTATCCAAGGACAAAAGATTTTAGGCATTTTTTTTTTTTTTAAAGATTTGAAAATTGCTATTGAGGCTTCAAGTAAAGTACCTCCAAAAAATTAAAATATCCATTTCAAACTTTCAGGGCCCTGAGTTCCTAGCAGGGCCTGAGGTCCTAGCATAGAAGCCAGCTGAAACCTGGAACCAAAGGCTCATAAAATAGCAATTGACAAGGGAATATCAATTTTCAAGGTAATCAGCTGAGTGGCTTAGGTACTAGCACTGACCACAATCACACATTTTGTCGTCAATTGATTTTTTGTTTCAAGGACTAACGAATTATAATTCAGACTATGTTAATTAGATCGCTGGTGCGGTAGATACCTTTTTATTATGATATTAAGTACATTAATTAGTAAGATAATAATTAATTATATTATTATGATATTATTTTTATTATGATTATTAGCTGAATAAAAAGTAATGATACCAGACAATATATTTATTTATTTATTTATCAGACTATGTGTTAGTGAAAGTAATTTACTTTATATTGGAACAAGATTTATTCAATTTTTTTGTTATCAGGACCAGTAAATAAGAGTTTGTATCTACAAAACTTGCTGTTTTTGAGCAAACAATAACAATACTTTCTTGTTCTTATGAAGTAAAGATGAGAAAGTAACATCAGAAAAGAAAAAGAACTTCAAAAGTCATTTTGTGGACGAGGAAATCAAAATAAGGACATAATGAAAAATAATAGGATACAGAAGTAAAATTAAAGGTGAATTGGAGAAACCGAAATCCTTGATACATGAAAGAGAGCATAGAAGCCATCTGAAATCGAACCAAAGGCTCATAAAATAAAAGAAATCTTCCCAAAAATACTTGCAAACAAGAACTGTAGAGGTTACTCGTTTATTTTAACGAAACAGCAAATGCAAGGAAGATAACCAATAAAATAAGGAACTAGAGGTACAACAGAATGGCATCAACTTTCTAGTACTAGTTAGTTTTCTAATTTCTTTAGTCTGGGCTACTTTAGCCAGCTGCCATCTATTGCTGCCCAAAGTACATTTATAAGAACAAGGCAGAACCGAAATATTCTTTTAAGAATATTATAGGCATTTAAGCATTACTGTAAATGTGATATTCAAGGTCCATTTTCAAAGAAAATTATTCAATTTTTCGAAAAACTTCATTGGAAGTCATTTAAAGCACTTCCCCTCACAAATGTAATAATGTTTACAAATCTCTAGAAATTTGTGTATTAAATACACAAGAGATATATAAAAGAATTACATTTATGTAATTTTTCAAAAACAGAATACAGCAAAAAGAATTATGTCATATTAAATAATGAATTTAGCACTATCCATTTGACCAGTTTGGAGAAATAATTTGGTGCCATTTTTGAGAAAATGGCATTTAAACGTTTTTAGAAACACTGAATTTTCAGCTCATTTTCACACAAATTTTAGAATTTTTCAGAAACTTTATAAGCCACCCTTTGAAGCAAATGAACTCAAATACAATAGTGTGAACAAATCATCGCTAATGTAAATATTACCAATGTGAGAGACAAATCAAAAAAATTACATTTATGTAATTTTTGAAAAAACAAAAGAAGAGCAATATGATATTCATGTCATCTTACAGAGTACATTTAGCACTATCCCTACCAAACTTTTAAAGCTAAAATTTGAAGCAGTTTTGGGAAAATCTGGTTTTTGTTCTTTTTTACTATTGTACATATTGCATGCAAGCGCGCAAAAACTATTTTCAACAAAGAAAATGTACATGACCTTAATGAAAGAACTATGGAGATAACATTTTACTGGAAGGAATTCTCTCTATCTTCAATTTTGTAATAGGAATAAGCTGAAAAAATTGCTTAAGAAATTTTCAAAAATTCAGAGTTAACAGTGGAAAAATGGACCAATGCCAACTTAGTAAGTGTATTTCACTCTATTCTTTGTTATTTTGCGCAAATGACTCTGTGAGTTGTCTCAAATTCAAAGTTTTCATTACCATCAGAATGGCATGAAATTGATCAACATCTGAATTACCAGTTATTAGAAAACCAAAGAAATAAAATTTCCAGTAAATAAAAATTTAACTGATCTAGACTACTTTTCATTATTTTTTTACTGTATTGTATTTATAAAACTCAAGCCAGAAATTAATAGATATGCAAATGAAACTATTCCTGAATTTCAACAAAATATAATAATAGTGCACCAATATTGTTGTTTGATGAGGTACACTGTGTTCTTCCACATATTTTGTGACGTTTTGTTTCTATCGGCAAAAATAAAAAATTGAAAATAAGTTCTTTAAATTCCATTTCCACCCTTATTTTATAACCAAATAGCAATAAAATACATATAAAGTTAAAGAGGAAAGATAATACTACAAGATGTTATAAACTACAAAATATATCTCAATTTATTTACAGTAGTTAAAAACAATGACGGTCTAGACCAGGGTTGCCCAAAGATGCCATTTATTGTGGACCTTGAAAGGTTTTTTTTTCAGTAATTCAACATCAACCCCATGTGTTTAACTGTGTTATGCATTGCAAACCTAATATCACGCAAAGTTCCAATCGCCCCACCCCCACCCTCGTTTCAGAGCTGCTGGGCAAACTGCTGATATCAACAATGTCACGTGTGCATCCCAGAGTAATGAAAATATGGCCTGCAACCATATTAAAGGTTGACCTTTCAGACCTTGGAAGTTGAACACCCCTGGTCTAAGCTAGAGCCATATCACCTCTTTTCAACATCTATTTGAATTGTGATTAGAAAATGCAAACACAAAACTCAAGCAGGAATAAAGATAACAAGAAACACGTAATTATTGACAATATAATTTGCAATTGTCCAAGCCACAATAACAAAACTCTGAGAAACACTACAAAACAAGCTTTTGAATTAATCAAAATATATGAAGAATATCATTCAAAAATAAGTCAGAAAACAAAAACATTAGCCTTTTGCAGCAAATAATACCTTTAAGCCAAAATAGTTATAGAAAATTCAAGAATTGAACAAGTTACCTCTTTCAAATATCTGGAATACTCAATTGGATTAGATTAGAAGAAAAAATAGAAAATATAATAGAAGGAATGAAATAAGAGAGATTTTTAACATAAGAGAAAATAGATTATAATTCATAATATTACAACAAAATCAATGTATGGTGGAGAAATGTGGATAATGGGTGCAAAGAAAACTAGGAGCATGGAAGTAGGTCAGATGTGGTTTAGAATGGCAGTTTAAGGAGTAACCAGAAGAGAAAAAATTCAAAATGAACTAAAAACAGAAAACTTAGAAAAAGAAAAGAATGGCAGATGAAGTGGAGAAAACATGAGATAAGAGTGGACACACAACTACAACAGATTGCATTAAATTACAGACAAGAAGGCAAGAGGGACACAGGAAGACCTACAAGAAGGTACCAGTAGGAACAGTTTCATTTCAAACTAGGACAACAGGAAAATAATTCCGAATCACAGGCTGTTGTTGATGTAGATTATGATGATGATGATGATGATGATGATGATGATGATTAAGACGGTTGAATGATTCAAGAAAACTTTCTTTACTTTCTTTCTAGAATCTTTAGGAAAGTACAGAACAATACAGACAATACAAACTCTGGTCACGGAAACCTATGCAATCATTATAGTAGTGTTCTTGCCCGTAACAGATGCAAGGAGAGAGGGGCTTATCGAAAGATGTACTCCTATTACGAAATTACATTAGCTAATTAAAAAATATTTATGGGCGGATTTGAACAGAAATTGCCTCCCTGCCCTCCTCCAAAAATACCTTCTCTGAATTGGCCTCTGGTGTTTGTAATTGATTACGTTTCCTTTAATTAAGGTTCTACACAATATTTCTTATTTATCTACGATGTAAGGGGATAGTAAGTCAAAGAAATATTTAAAATTTAAAAATGAAAGAATGAATTGCTAATTTAATGCAAATTAGAGTTTTGTAGTATTTAAGCAAAAGTACAAAATCAAAATCACAATCAAAACTTCATATAAACACTCATTTCGTAACAAGACAACAATATTAATTTCCAAGTTCAAGAGGGCATCTATGTTTTACCTCTATAAATATCATTTTATCCGCTGCATTCCCAAGCAATGTATTAATACATTAATTATTGTTTTTAGACCTTTAAAGATAAAAATTCACTAATTTAATCAGAATTTGTGTAAATTCCATAACAAAATCTTACCATTTAAGCAAAACATGTTGCCCAAAAGCTTTAAAGGAGCTGTGCCATGAAACATCCCTGAAATCAAACAGAAGGTCACATTAATTATTATTCAAAGAAAAAATGCTACTACACAAATTGAAAAATGAACTTCACTCAAGAGTTTTTCTAAAATATGTAGATACTATACGTTACCTTCACCAGAAATAGGTTTCATTACATAATTTGGGGCCAGTTGAATAATTATTATTAATGTATCAGATCACACTACAGAACCTCTTCAGAACATCACATTTCGAAAATTTACATTTACTGACACTAGAAAATACAGGGTTGTTATTTTACAACCCATATCTGAGAGCACCTGCTCTTGAGGTAATTTGGTAACGGCCTATCTTTGCCACCAGTCAAGTCACAGTCATGGCTGTGGCTGGCAAGCCATGGCTGCCAAATCAGGTTGGCAGAGGAGAGGAGTGCCACGTCATAAGCTGCAGTGACTTTTTCTGCATTTTCCCCATTCAAGACTCAAGATATACGGCTCACATGCTGGAATCCTTTCAGGCTGAGCAAAGCAGGCAGGAAAGAATGGTTGCAGACTCAGATATAAACGGGGAAACAAAACAACTGTTTCTGAGATTTGACCAGTATGCTCTTGAAACAAAATTGTGATATTGAAGAGGTGGAGGAAAATTTTGTTTTAATTTGATTTATTTGGTCAAAAAACAGTAAAAACCGTATGTGATGTATGGGGGAGATGTACAATCTGCACATGTTTTCTTGAGCTCCAGGATCTCTTCTAAACATTTTAACTACAAATAGTCAAAAGAAGAATAAAAGTTTAAAAAAATGAAAAAAGGAAACTTTTGAAACGTAGAAACTGTTGCTCGTGTGTTAGAGAAAAGTTATTTGCATCAGTATATGAACTGCAGACTTTTTTTGTATTGCTAACAAAAAATTAACATACCCCTGGCTCTACTACCACCACTAGCAAAAGATGAGCTCAACAAAACATGTGCATAGTGATGGCTGATTTATCAATTTAGTAACCTGTTACATAATTTTTTTTAATGAAAGCCAGCTCAGAGAGAAATTGGAAAGAGATCTCATGCAACATCACCAAGGTCTTCATTATTTATAATAATAATAATAATAATAATAATAATAATAATAATAATAATAATAATAAATTAATAACTATTGAAAATAATTAAAAATTAATGCAACCATTATTGTTATTCAATATGATAATTCAGCAATTCTTCCTTGCCAAACGTTTTACATAGAGGAAAAGTATTCAGTCTTTCCTCAATGGTTCTTACAAGGATGAATGAAACAAGCAAGAATGACTGACCAAGGGCACAATAATTGTTTTCTCCGTCTTCCAAGTAAAACAACCACATCAATTCGCCCTGACAACTAAGAGCACACATCTGCCAGGTCAGTGAGAGTAAAAGGAATGCCAAAGGTATTTCACATGGTTACCAAATGGCCACAAGAGCAAGAACTTCTAGACTTGGGCTGCAAGATGAAATAAAGATCCTGAAAAATACCATGAGGTACGATATTTCTTCAGGTATAGGGGTGGGGGTGGAAGTGGGGTTGGAAGTGTCCCTAGGGGGTAGGGTTGGACGAGTCAAAGCAAAACTTACAAATTAAGAAAGACCCCATTAGCTTTTTTCTTTTCCACATTATAACAATTTTAATTCCTAGCACATGTTCTTTCTGGTCTTCCCATCATTTTGAAAACTATACATAGGATAATGAAGAAATAAACACAAATACTAAGTTTTAATTTCCATAAGTGATTCAACCAATTATAAGGTTATTCTCATGCAAGGCAGCACTTCCATTCAATATTGTCTCTTCATTCATAAAAAAATTGCCCACTGTTCCTTCTCATAATTTACTATGCTTTAACAGCGTAGATGTTGCATGAGCCATGAATAATCAATACTTACCATTAACACACACTCAAAATACTTCAGTGAACCCTGACATAATAAAATTTCCAGTAACTGTCACATACATATATATTAATTAATAAACTTTTTAAAATAAAAAAAAATCTATGTAAAAACTAATTTTTTTTCCATCTTGTTGTCATGAACCTTAAAAGACATCTGAAGGAGCTTTTGAGTAACATTTCAAGTAAAAACCTCTTAAAATAAATATACATATAATAATATAAGAAGTACCAGGTAAATTACATCCTTTACATACTTGGGCCATGGTGTGACTTTGCTGATTAAATCTTCTACAGCAAGTGACATCCCGCGTACCATTAACACACTTCCCAATCCTTTCCACAAAGTTGTTATACCCTGGCGTCTATGAAGATGGATAATAACTGGTAACAGTGTCACGGGAATGAGATGATACCGGCGAGAATTATTATGAACCTGTCAAAAATTTCCTTGCAATGTATTGAAGCGTGATAATGTCGATTTAATATAAGTTATTATGAACTTCACACGGTACTAACCTGACACTGACGTCGCAAGACAACAAAGGGGTGGCTTAATAAATTTTCAGTAATTAAACTCGCCAGGCTGACTCCCATTCCCACATACCTCTTGACCATACCATCTAAAACGTTAAAAAGTATTTATCAACGAAGGCATTTCCAAGCAAGAACAAACGTTAGCACCGTAACATCATTACCTACCTTCATCTTGATCAGATTCATCTTGTACTCGGGCCGGCAACCGAGAGTTCAGTTCCAGGCTTGGACGGGGTACATCTCCCCCAGCTAAGTTGTCAAATCTTCTATTCCATAAGTCTTTATCGCCGACATATGATGGATACCTTTCCATCCCCGCCATGCTATGTCTGTGTGCCAGGTTCACGTAACAAGAGATAATCACAGTACATACAGCAAAACTATTTTAATCAAGTTTCGACACCACAGCTCTCAACTCATTTATATCACCAGCAACTCTATTGGCATAGAAGGGGCTGAAGCAAAACCAGTAAATCTCATTCACAACTGCGGCAATCGCCCTCATCTGTCTTTCATCTGTCTTTGGTCTTCAACGATTTTGACGTGAAAAGTCATGACCGAATGTTCAAGATTCATGATTTGTGAATAGTTTGATCACGTAGAATACATTTTACGAAAAAAACAGTTACGCCTATTTGATTATAGCTGCCCGATCGGACACGGATGATGCAAAAAGCCACAAGAAGCAGTTATTTGATGATGTAGGGCGGGCCCTTTTTCGTACCCAACGTGATTGAATCGACTCAAGTCTACGAGAACATAACGAACGACAATACGTATGAAATGGCGTTCGTATTTATAACCTCAAACTTTAAGGCTAGTTAACACTTTTTTCAACTTTCCCCCCGCCAGTAACCCTGGCGAGGCGGGAGTTTATTTCCTTCTTGGGCTACAACATATGCCGCAAGCTTCAATGGGCTTATGCGGCAAAAAGGGGGCAGAACTTACTTACTAACTTATTTCTAACTTAACCTATGATCAGGGCCTTATAACTCCCATATAACGTGGTGGAGACCATTATGGTGGCGCGCTCTGCTGCATCGCCTTCTTTACACGAACTAAAACACGAACTGCTACCAACGATACTTTAAACGTACGCGGCTACTGTGCGAGTTCGCGGTCGCAAGCAGGCCATAATGTTACAAAACATAACGTTTATATTCGCGGCATTATTCAGAGGTTTCTTATAAGTATAGATTATGAATAATAGTACATTTATAAGACACTTTTCGTATTTCTCAAAAATTAGCCAATTTGTAAGTGGGAAAGTTGGCGAAGCCTTAACCGCAGGCTGCACCTGGCGACACTAGGCTTCCCTATAGTAGCAACCTCGAGCTTTGTCCCAGTTTTGCATGAGAGGAGTTGCCGGGCCCTGCTATGCGATGAAGCCGGCACTTTTGGCCGTCAACCTAAGATTAACACAATACTATATTCTTCTCCACGGCTTAATAGTTTTAATTTTCCTTTTTTTTTTTTTTTTTTTTTTCATTCACACGCACATTCACACTAGATTACATGTTTACTTGACACACTCACTTTCACACGACACTATATACATCCTAAACACTATTTACACTATGTGCGCCACGGCGCCGACTTTGCTCCAAGCGTCCGTGGCGGCTAGGCACAATGTGCCTGGCAATGGGCGGAGCCTCACTCGTCCCGCTGGGAGCCTCACGCCGCTGCTCGGAGAGTTCTGCGAGAAGCTGCGGCGGTACACCGGAACGTGAAGGCCACTTGCTTGGGCCCTCTCTGGCGCAAAATACGTCCGGTGGACCTCACAGTTTCGCTGCCCGGCCGGTTTCGCGCTAGAGCAGCGGAGCTTCGCCCAGCGCCCGCTGAAGCGCCGGGTGTGTGCCCTCCGGCGGATCTCCTCGGCAGCTGACGACTCAAGCCCAAGGCCCGTAGGTTACACTGTTCCTATGGTGGGGTTAGGAGGAGGAGGAGGGAGATGCGGCGCGTGGGCGTCCTCACCGCTCGGTTCTCGGCCGCCAAATCGGGCGTAGGTCGAGACCGGCGCTTCCGCAAAGGTTTCGCACGCATAGGTCATAAACTTCGTATGCAGGCGGTGAAAAGGAGACGCTTCTGCGAGAGAGATAGGTTCGGGGAGCTAAGGAGGGGACGTAGGAGGGAGGTCCTCGCAAGATTTGCGTGGCGAAGGTCCTTGGCGTGCTCGTGCCAATAGAGGCCACGATCTAGAGTCATGCCAAGGTACCTCGCGCATGGGGACCAAGGAAGATGCGCGCCCGCAAGCAACACCGTTTCCTCGGCGTCTGCGCCCTCTGACGGGTGAAGTTAACGGCCACGCATTTTTCAAGGTTTTAGTTCAGTCGTTTCTGGCGTAGCCAGGTGGGAAAGGTGGCGAGGCATTCATTCAGGTATCTCACTGCTTGCCTGCTGTTGCGCGATTTCGCGGTTATACGCAAAGCCGTCCGCGAACATCAGGAGCCCGCAACGCTGTATTCTCGTTCTCCTTTCTACTAGCAGAGGCGCATCATTGACGTGACAAGCCGAAGAGGGTGGGGGAGAGCACGCTCCTCCTGGGGAACTCCCGCTTCGGCGCGTCTTAGGGACGAAATTGTACGCCGTTAACCTCGCACTCTGAAACGTTCTCTCTGTGAGAAAACTACCGATCAGCCTGGTGTAGCAGTCGCTATCCCTGACTCAATGAGACATAAGAGTGCCCCCTCATGCCACAACCGTGTCGGAAGGCCGACCGCATGTCCAGGAAGACGGTAGGCAGATTCTGCCGCCTCTCGAGAGAGAGGCCGATCTCGGAGCAGAGGCGCGTCAAGTAGTTATCACTTAGTCAAGTAGTTAACACTTGGAAACGCGTATCCAATTTAATCTTGACGCTCCAGCCTTCCGCACACGCCATTAATAAAACATCCTTGAGTCTGTTCAAGTCTAATTTGTAACGTAAGTAATTTGATTCCAAAATACTTTGTTGACAAACACTTTCCTCACACTAGACGCTTCGCAATGCCTGTCGAAGTATGTGACGATGCTCAATGTCTGCTGGGTATGCAAATGACATTCTTGAACTTGATAATGCATTTTACTTCCTTTAATTGCCGTGGTGAGAGTGAGATAGGTGTTATGTTTAGCATGCCATTTTTATAGTATCAATCGAAAGGTGAGACGTTCTTCTACGTTCTGGTGGACATTGAATCGATTTCACCGTCTAGTTTTCGAGTAATAACACCATAGAGCTTGTCCTTTTAACATCCTTTTTTTCTGTGACTTTGCAGACCCGACTGGAAATTTTAAAATTGTGAGGAAACTAGATGTTGAAATTGTTTTTAAAAATTATTTCTTATGTAGCTAGCATCACTAAGAAGCAATGTGTGAAATTTAAAGAAGTCTACCATATCAAAGGCGAGAACAGAGAATTCTGGGCGAGAATTCTACAAACCAACAAGCTTAGTTAGCCCGAAAGCAGACTTAGCGCGCTTTCTACAGAATCGGAGTGGTAACACTCAACACTACGCGCGAGCGCGCTTCATTCGAATCGAGCGACGTCAATAGCCATGACCCTGGTTCGAGAGATGCATTGAGAGATTCAGTTATTCAGTTTGGCAAGACTACTAACTCAATTAAATCAACAATTTTTCAATTAGGTTCAATTTTAATTTGTTTGCTGGAATGTTATAAGAATACATGAATCCCTGAAAATAATAGATTAAAAATAATACAGGGAATAAGGACCCACGAAATATGGAATCTGACTACGCAACGTGTTAGAGCAAATAATTTACTACAGGAGTGCTTGCCAACTCAATGCTCTGTCACAATAACTCCTCTGCTCCTCTCTTGCTCCGACGGAGCGGCTGAGAAAAGGTAGTGCCCGACCCGGCGCACTGTGTACAATGTTCCAGTGATGGTATTGAAGTGGGGGGGGGGGGGATTCGCTCGAAAATTATTTTTTTAATAGGTATTTATTATATAAATGTTTATGATTCAATAAAAATATGAAACGTTTAAAACATAGAACGTAGATTATTTTATAACACAAAGCAATATCCGAACTTAAGTATCGACGCCAGTAATTCCCCTTCCATTCTTCTAACGCAAAACGTTACTGGAGAAGACTGTTTTAACATTCTAATACAATATTTTATACAATGTTATGTAACCTAACCATTTCAAATCGTTCTAAATCAATAAGATAGGCACACAAAAGAAAAAAAATAGTCAGACCCAAAGACTTGACACATGTTTTCTAAATATATCAATGCGCTAAATCCGAATCTTAACCCAAAATTGCGCCACCCCCTCCAGGTTTTTTTTTTCAAATCGTGAAAAACCACCGTGAAATTGTATTTTTGTTTTCGGGGATTGTTATCGGACCCAAAGACATGACACATATTTCTTTATGCATGTCGACGCGCTGTACAATGTATTCATGTATCTGAATCCGAAGACAGATTGCGTCACCCCTTCCAGATTTTTTAATTGCAAATAAACAGTGAAATATAAAATTTACAATTTCACAGTGGTTTTTCACGATAAAAAACAACTGGAGGGTAGAGGCCCAATTCAGGCTTCGGATTCAGCGCGCCGGCATACATAAAGAAACAAGTGTCAAGTCTTTGGGTTTGGCAAGTTTTTTAATTTTGTGTACCTGTGTAATTAATGCTAACACATAAGTAACCAGGAGGGGTCACGTAGGATAATTGTGACTCCAGGCTTGATTTTTTCATGTACAGTTTTGTTTAAGAATGTTGTAAATCCTCGTGATTTTCCGTACATTTTCCATAACCTTCTATCTGAAAAATCCTTTTCTCATCTCATGATTACAAGCTGTCTGCAAATTCTCGGAAATTATTTTCACCTCGCTGGTTTCTCTGGGCTGCAAATCTGCGTAATCATCTGTAGGTTGAACTTTTTAACATTCTTTCTGCAATTCTTACGAACACACTAAACATTTCACCGTTGTTACTGTAACTACAAAAATAAATATTTCTTCCCAAATCGTAAGAAAATAAACGGGCCTAGATGAGTTCGCATGTTGCCTAAAACACTGGTAAAGGCCCACCGGCACTAGCAAGGTTTTTGTCACCGGCGACAGCCTCTCCCTCTCCCCTTTGCTCGTGCTTCTTCTCTTATCACCTACGCGGAGGGGAAAGCAGCTCCAACGTCATTTTTCTGCCAGTTGACAAATGCTATATTGGAACAAGATTTATCAACTTTTTTGCTTCCAGGGCCCGACAATCAGAGTTTTTCTGTCAAAAAGTCGCTGTTACTCGGAGCACGATTACAATATTTTCTCTTCTTTCGCTCGTAAGGGCGAAAAAGAAAACTAGTAATGTTACAGAATGGCACAGACTTCTCCGTATTAGTTTTCTATTTCCTATGGCCTCGACTGTCTATTCGAACTTGCCACATAATCTTGCCTGTTGCCATGTATCGCCGCCAAAAGTATATTTCTTTGACATTTTCTTATTTTTTCTGTTTCCCAATACTAGTACGGAAATATTATTTTAAGAATATTAAAGACCTCGCAAGCAAAACCTTGCCCTATCAATAACCTTTGAAAAATGTGAAGCCGTTTTTAAGAAAATGGCGCTTAAGCTCTACTGTTAATTCGAAATTCGAAGAACTTTTTCACAGAACAAATTTGTTTTCGAAAAATGTCATTTGAAATCATTGGAAGAACTCTAACTCACAAATACGATAGTGTTTACAAATTTCTGGAAATGTGTATATTACTGGT